TTACCTCAGGACTCACCCCGGGCTCGGCTTCATCCGGTCCCTCGGTAATTCGTTCGTCTCTTCGGGTGCTTTCCCGGGATTGTTCAGATTCCACCCTGTTGGGGCGTGGTTTTGACTCTGTAGCTGTGTTATTGCCGTTGAGCCTGGAACATCTCAAAAATCAACTGTAGGCTCACCCTATCACCTTCATTTTGGGCGCTTCTCGAGCCGTTGATTGGACCTTGGTTCGAGCCAAGTCGTGAATGAAGAATAGAACAAGTGAGCAAAATTCTTAACAGTAGCTAGGAGGTAAAAAATAAATTTTTATTGCCTTGAATCACGTGTTACAATGTGTTAGATATAAGAAAAACTTCCCCTTTATATAGTAGGAGAGTTTCAGCCCTAGTATAAGTGTAAAAATGTGACGACCTAAAGGGTCATCACTTGTTTTCTTATTCATCCTGTGCTTCTGAGGCCTTGAAACCCTCATTTAGGGTCGCCTCGATTTGCGTGCGCAGTCCGGGCGCGTAGCCGGAAAGTCTAAATATGAAATTCTGTGGAAAATGCTAAGTTTTGATATTAAAATGAATAAATTTGACTTCGGTCAACATTTTCGGTAAACGGACCCGGACCCGTGATTTGACGGTCCCGGAGGGTCCGTAGGAAAATATGGGACTTGGGCGTATGCCCGGAATCGAATTCCGAGGTCCCAAGCCCGAGAAATGAATTTTTGAGTAAAATTGTTTTTCTAAAAATATTTAAGGAAATTGGAAATGAAAATTGATTAGAACGTGATGGTATCGGGCCCGTATTTTGGTTCCGGCGCCCGGTACAGGTCTTATATGTGGTTTAAGCACTTTCTGTAAAGTTTGGTTGAAAACGGACGTCGTTTGACATGTTTTGGACTTAAAATGGAAAATTTGATGTTTTATGAAATTTGGAAGATATCATGGATTTTGAGGCTTAATTCGATGTATATGATGTTGTTTTGGCGATTTGATCACACGGATAAGTCCGTAGGATGTTTTTGAGGTTGTGTGTATGTTTGGTTTGGAGCCCCGAGGGCTCGAGTGAGTTTTGGATAGGCCACGGGGTGAAATTTTGGACTTGAGGAATTGCAGGCCTGCAGGCTTCGCATTTCCCAAACTTTTCTCGCAATTCCCAGGATTGTTCGCATTTCCCAAACTTTGTTCGCAATTACCAGGCTTCGCATTTCCCAAACTTTTCTCGCAATTCCCAGGCTTGTTCGCATTTCCCAAACTTTGTTCGCAATTACCAGGTTCGCATTTCCCAAACTTTTCTCGCAATTCCCAGGCTTGTTCGCATTTCCCAAACTTTGTTCGCAATTACCAGTTCGCAATTCCCAAACTATTTTTGCAATTCCCAGTTCGCAATTCCCAAACTTTGTTCGCAATTCCCTTATCTGCAACCTGCATTTTTCATACTTAGTTGATTTTTAAGACATTTTCACCCCATTTTCAAAACACAACTCCTTTGGGCGATTTTTCAAGAACAAACCTTCTTCCAAATCAATTGTAAGTTGATTTTTACTCATTTCTTTCAATCACTAACATCATTTAACATGTTTTCAACTTAAAATCAAGGATTTTCATGGGTGAAATTGGGAGTTTTGGGTAGAACCTAGGTTTTTCTAAAATTGGGAGTTTGGACCTCGATTTGAGGTCCGATTTCAAAATAAATTATATATTTGGGTTCGTGGGGGAATGGGTAGCCGGGTTTTGGTTCGAACCTCGGGTTTTGACCACGTGGGCCCGGGAGTGATTTTGGAATTTTTGGGCAAAACTTTGTGAAATTCATTTTATGCATTCAAATTGATTCATTTAGCGTTTATTGATGTAATTAAGTAATTTGTGATTAGATACGAATGAATTGGTGGTGGAATCAAGGGGTAAAGCTATAATTGAAGCATGAATTATGTTCGAGGCATCGAGGTAAGTGTTTGGTCTAACCTTAGCTTGAGGGATTAGAAGTTGTGTCCTATTTGCTAATTGTTTCTTGTTGAGTACGATGTATAGTCATGGTGACGAGTATCTATACGTTGGTGTCGAGCATGATCGTGAGTCTTATATCGTGATTTCCATGATTTCGTTGTATTATTCATGCCTTGGTGAAAATTTCTATTTGTTGTGTAAAGTTGTGAAAAGAATTGTGACTTATGAACGTTGAGGAGCATTGGCTCCAGTTGTATAATGAATGCTGAAAGTATATGTGATAATTGAACCTCTAGAGCAGTGGCTCGAGTGATGAAATGAATTGTGAAGTAAAAGTGAGAAAGAGAAGAGATCATTATGTTGCCCCCTTGCCGGGCTATTGTGAGTTGTGGTTCCCTTGTATTGTGTTCTTAATTGATATTACGGATACTCAGGTTGATGATTCTTTGTGTTAGTTAAGGATTATGGTTATAGCTGAGGTAGTTAGATGTTGGGACAACTTTGCGGTATAGCGGAGGTAATTAGGTGTTGTAACAAGTTTGGGTATGGCCGAGGTAGTTAGATGTTGTAACAAGTTTTGGGTAGGACTGAGGTAGATAGGTGTTGTGACAAGTTTGGTTATAACTACTTCTTTTTCCCTTGCCGGGATAGTGTGGACCTTATGATCCCTTGTCGGGACTCTTGTTATATTTGTAAATGTTATATATATGGATCGGGTTGCACGCCGCAATAATGTTATATATATGGATCGGGTTGCACGCCGCAACAATGTTATATATATATGGATCGGGTTGCACGCCGCGACACTATTATATTTATGGATCGGGTTGCACGCCGCAACAATATTATATATGGATCGGGTTGCACGCCGCAACAATATAATGAAATGAGAACGGGTGGTACGCCTACCACGAAATATAATAAAATGGGAGCGGGTGGTACGCCTACCACGAAATATAATGAAATGGGAGCGGGTGGTACGCCTACCACGAAATATAATGAAATGGGAGCGGGTGGTACGCCTACCACGAGATATAATGAAATGGGAGCGGGTGGTACGCCTACCACGAGATATAATGAAATGGGAGCGGGTGGTACGCCTACCACGAGGTATAATGAAATGGGAGCGGGTGGCACGCCTGCCACGAGATACATGAAATGGGATCGGGTTGCACGCCTGCAACGAGATATGTACTGACAGTGAAACCTGCTTTTATTTCCCTTATCCGTGTTAGAGTTAAATTATTGATGTTCTTTATTATTCTCTTGATATTCTGTTTTTACTTGTTATCCCCCGAAGCATGTTCCCCCCTCCCATCCTTACTTGCTTATACCTGCTTTACTTTCCGCTATATTTTATATAACTGCACAGGTTTATTTGATAGTCTGGTCCTAGCCTCGTCACTACTTCGCCGAGGTTAGGCTAGGCACTTACCAGCACATGGGATCGGTTGTGCTGATACTACACTCTGTGCTCTTTTGCACAGATCTAGGTCCCGGACAGCCGTAGTAGCTCGGGAGCCAACCTTCAGTTCACTGAGACACCGAGGTAGCCTTGCAGGCGTCCGCAGGCCCGGCGTCTCCTCTATTTCTATTTATGATCTGTTATCTCTTTTACTCGAGACAGACAGTGTTACTTTCTTTCAAACGGTTGTATGTAGTAAATCTTAGCAGTCCGTGAATGTTGTGACACCAATTCTGGGTAGAGGCACATCTGGATTTTTCCTTATTATTTGGTTTATATCGTTTAAGTCTTCCGCTAAATTACAAATTCCGCTGTTGTTTAATTATTTATTTCCTGTTAATTAAATTGGTAGAAATGGATTTTAAACAAAAGCATTTATGGATTCTAGATGTGTGGCTTGCCTATCTTCTACGAGTAGGCGCCATCACGATCCCCGATGGTGGGAAATCCGGGTCGTGACAAAAAAAGGTACAAATCTTATTTTTTTGGTAGTTGTTTAACCATAATTGATATTGAGCGAGATTCGCATTGTGATATCCGGTTGAGGGCGGGTATCGCAGCCTCTATCCGTCATACATAACCGTTCACCGTGTCTCCCGAGGTTTGAAACTCGCACTCGGCTCAAGCGCGTTGCTTTACCATGTCTAATGTCGGATATACCGTTCACTCTTCCGGGGTCTCGATACGAAATGCCTTTGATCTCGACTGTGACTTCCCGGCTCTGTGCTCCCCTTTCATTCTCTAATCGGGAAATTGGGGTAGACGTTGGCCCCGATTTCACCCGTACGCAATTTAAACTTTATTTTTGTATTTACTATGTTGTTTTGATGTGAAAATTTGATTATTTTAAAATAATCATGTCAATAGTTGTGATTATTGACTACAGAATACCAACTGAAAACAAGGATATAGAGTATAGACACATTTTTTTGCTGCCTGTGGCGCTAGCTTTTGTGGTGTGTTTCATTAAATAGTCTTTTCTTTAATAATACCATATAAATTAGATTTTATTCTAATATTTTACAGATATATTATATAACTTTTAATATTTTATATTCATGAATTTTAAAATAAAAATAAATTATGTTTGTTCAGATGCTGAAAAAACAATAATCTTAATAATCTGCTGTTTAGATTTAATGATTATATCTTAATGATCTAATATGTAATAATATTCCATTACAAACAAAGTAATCTCAGCATAGAATCTCAGATAAACTAATACTATAATATTATGTTCAACTGATTGCATAAAAAATGGTAGTAAAACATTAGATTGATAGTATTAAGCTTAAATATTCACATAACTTTAAAAAATTTATATAATATTATTTAATGGGAAATAAGACAAAAAATGACAATAGGCATTAGCAATACATGAATAAAAAACATTTAAAATTAAAAATACCCTTGGATACTTACATAAGCATTTTTATGATTATTTTTCTAATAATTTATATATTATTATTCACCTTATAAGTTCTGCTGCATTTTAATTTCTGTGGACCTATTAGATGAACCAAATTAAATAACCTCACAGGAAAGCAAAGAAAATAAATAAATAAATAAAATAAGGCAGAGATGTTTTCATCTATAAATTGGGAAAGGTAATCCACTCCACAGTCTCAACTCCTCTGCCTCTCCACTCCACAGACCCTCCAAAAACCCTTGTCGCCGTCCACGGCGGCGCACTTCTCATTTCTTCCTCATCCCTCGGTGAACCACCACCGATGGCATCTACACCGGCATCAGAACTCTCCGATGGACCAGTACTCAGCGTGATCAACAAGCGCCTCCGTGCTCTTCGCAAGAAATACAACCGCATTGTCCAAATGGAAGAATCTCTATCCAAAGGCAAAACCCTCAACAAAGAACAAGAGGAAACTTTCCGCTCCAAATCCGCTGTTCTCGCCGGCATTGACGAGCTCGAGAAGCTTCGTCAGCCACTCGCTGCAGCCGTCGCTGAAGAAATCAACCTCGCCGTTGAACAACAACGCCAAGTTCCTCCGTCAGAATCCGCCGCCGATACGCCTATTGATGATTCTAACATCAAAGGAGAATGTGTTGAGGATTTACTTAATCTGTTGTACTTTGGTAGCATGTTTGACGTGAAGTCGTTGCAGCAGAGTGATTTAACCGCGACGATGCTGACGAGGACTATGGAGAGGGCGTGTTGTTTGAGCTACGACTGTATGCCGGAGGATGAATCGACTGACGACGTGATGGATCTGTTAGGCGATAGAGATTTGGATTTGATTTCGATGCTTAGCGGTTTGCTTGTTTCACGCCCTGTTAACTCTCCCTTGTCACACAAGCACGCTCTTCAGAAATGTACTGAGCATGCTAAGCTATGGCTTTCGAAGTCTGATCAGCCCATCGAACCCAATTCCGATGCTACTTGTGAGTGTCATTTTTCTTCTCAGATAAAATTGTTTGTTTACTTTGTCGGGAATCGGAAACAGCCTCTTTGCCCTTCTAGGGGTAGGGGTAAGGCTAGACCCCAAGGTACTGGGTTTGTTGCTGTTGTTGTTGTTGTTGTTGTTACTTTGTCGGGAGTGGATATAGAGGATGCATATTAGCTCGAGCCCCACTTGTTTGGGATTGAGGTTTAACCAGTTTTAACAATGAGCTAACTGTGCTTCTAAAAATATGGGTTCAAAAAATTAATATTTTGTTGAAATTTTGTTTTACACACACATGTTCCATGTCAGTACTAAGGTTACATCCGCCACTGGAGTTGTTGTTATTGTTATCCTGGCATTGACATTTTTAATTTGCCAGGGAATGGATATAGAGATTCTTATTGTGGACCCTAACTGGTTTAAAACGAATTTTACTTGTTGCTGTTTTATGGAAATTTACGTTTTAGGAAGACATGTCAAGACTTTAGGGCAGTCTTTGATAGATGATTTTAACTGGTTATGTCCCTTTTCTTGCAGATGCGGGGCTGAGATCAAAGCTGGACAAGATCATTGGTTCACTATATTTTACCACAGACCCTGTTAAAGTGGAGGCAACTGCTGGTAAATATGGGTCTTATCCTGTGCCAGTAGAAGAGCATGTGGAGGTTGTGCCTGTCGACGTACCACTGCAAGCGGAAAATCCAAATGTGCAGTATGAGCAGAAGGTAAATGCTTATAGAAGTAAAGCATCTATAGCTTATTTGCTATATTTAAGGTCTGAAAGACATCTTGCAAGGTTGCCTTGATAATATGATTGATTGTTGGATGCACACGAGTTTTGCTTGTTTATGTTTTTGTGTTTGAATGCAAAGCTTTACCTCATTGATATTTCTGTTATATCCCTTGTTTGAAGATTGGTGTATATAACGTAATTGCTGCGCTATTGTTAAGGCCTTATGAAGCTTCTGATTAAGTTGGTGTCTACCTTGCAATTCTTCTACATATTGCTAAATAACTGAACTTCAAAAGCACAAGCCTCCATCGCACATTTCCTTTAAAGGAACTGAGATGTTCATATGGTTTGGCTTGTTGGTCTTTAACTTGTTAGATTTTGCATGTGTCCTGGCCTCTAGGTTAGGTGATGAGGCTTTTCCCTTTATTTTTTTGGGGGTGGGGGTTGTACATCTCAGTAGATTTCGCTTTTGTTATTCTTAAAACAATAATACATGTTTTCCTTGTTCGTTTTTTTGTGTCATAAAGAGCTCATAATTTCTCATACATTGGTCTTTCCGCACTTTCTTGTTGTGGTCTTAATATATTGAATAAGATGTTCTTTGCTATAAAGCTGTTCTAAATACGATTGTTGATAGCTTCAGTTACCTCTCTGCCAAAGTTCTACACAATACTGGGGAGGTAGAAAACGAAACCCAGAAGAGTAGCCCCTTTGCTTCCTCTTTCTCCAACATCATAAAGGAAGCTTTAATTCCTCTCTGCTCTTGCTTTCCTCTTTCTCCAACATAACTGAAATTGCCGTCAAGACTATCCCCTATTTAAAGGCCAAAACAAGGAAAATAAAAAGAAAAAAGTAGCTCAACTTCATTGTGCCAATGTTGAATCTGTATATGTTTTGAGGGCAGTTACAATTCCATTCAGAAGATCAAAGCCAACAGTATATTTTCGTTTTATTTTTGGCGTAGATTGGAGCTTTTAAATGAAGCTAAGTATGTGGTAGAGCTACTAGAACCCCTATAGCTTTAGAAAGGGACATATTTGTGCTTCAGTGTTTTGCTTCACTGTACAGATTTCTAGCACAATCTTTGTGCTGTTAGGAATACAACTTTACGATTCTCATAAAAAGAAAAAATTAGATCTTCCTCTTTTTGGTACTGGTATGCAGAACAATAGAGGCAGAGACCTCTTCGTTCTTGGTTGCTCAAAATGGATGATATAGTATCTTTGAAAGGCGTGAGAGTGCTTATGTCGTTTTAGTTATCTAATCCGTTGTATTATCAATACACGTATTATTCCACATATTATCCTGCGTAAAATAATACATAGATTTCTGAATAATTTATGCAAGTACTTTTTATACGGAAAAGAAACTGTAACCAAACAATGTATTGTTAATGTTGAGTTCTATACCAAGATTATTTTATCCTATACATCAAGAATCTGTTTAGTCTAGTTAGAGACATATATGCCAGTGGAGGAATTAAATGTGAGACTTATAGCTGCACCAGTTTTAGAGAATGCCTAGTTTCCTAAAAAGACAGTATTTAGTATCGACGTGAAATGCTCCCTAAAGAAGTGGAATAGATGGAGAGGATTCATACAGCAAACCAATTAGTTTTGAATTGAGTCATAGTTGTTTGTTCGATCGATATATTGCTAATGAGTCGAATCTGAAAAGGCCTGAAAACCTGGTCAAAGATAGATTTGCATTTTTGTCTTTATATCCTGAACCCTCTTTGCTTCAATTCTGAGCACTTTCTGTGCAGGCCAAGCTATATACCGGTGAGAGTGTGAGCAAGAATTTTGTGTAAAAAAAGAGCTTATTAACCTTGGTCCTGAGTTATCCTACCTTTCCTCACCTTTTTACATCATTTTCTGGCTTTGTATTCTTAGACTCTTTGGCAACCTAAGCTAGATTTTAATGTTTTCACTGAAACTATTTGATTTAACGTATGTAAAAGGAGAAGCTATTTATTTTCTCACAATAATCTTTTATCCTTAATTTGTAGCCGTAGAAAAAATTGACTTACATCTGCTTAAAATAAAACGTGAGAACTCTTTTCCATATATGTGTTGCTTCTGATTGTTCAATCATTTGATAATCAGAGTCATTCTTTGATAAATGATAACTATGAGTCAGACTCAAGTTTCAGTGTAGTCACTACTTTTGGCATCTGAAGTGTGTAAATCCTGTTTTCTTATTAAAATCTATTCTTTTAATTTACCTGGCTTTGAAAAGGGGACTACATTGTGGGGGTGTGCATTCGAATCGGTTTATCGATAAATCGAATCGATTATTTGTTATCGGTTTATTGATTTATCGATTTCGAAATTTTCCTTATCGAGTTATCGATTTCGATTTCGATTTTGTCCTCTTCGGTTTATCGGTTTATCGATAAACCGATAAGAAATACTAAATTTTTTTTTTTTTTTTTTTTTTTTTTTTACCCTTATTCTATAATACCCTTTCCTTTACCCTAAGTCCCTAACCCTATTATTTCATCTACCACATTTAAGGAATGATCATACTTAAAGCCCAAGGGAATGAAGTTCAAATTAATGAAAAATAGAATTAGCCGTGATGATGTATTTTTTTTTATACCGTTGGAGTGTTGGTGGCAAACATTTGATCCCTTACTTTAGTTTCGTTGCATGTGCTTGTTGACACAATTTTTATGTTATAAAAGGTGTTCGTCTTATTTTAGCTTCTTTTGGTCCATATTAGTTAGGCGTGTTTATAGCGATATACTTTCCGTGGAATCCCGCAAATTTTCTTATTGGTGTAATCGATAACCGAATCGATAAGCCCCAAAAATCGATAAATCGAAATCGAAAAAATCGAAACCTTATTGAAACGATAACGATAAGCATATGTACAAATCGATAATCGATAAGTAATTATCGACAAGGGTCAAAATCGAATCGATAAATCGAATGCACACCCCTACTACATTGTGTGCATTTACAGGGAATTGAATATGTATAGAAGTTTTTCTATAGCACTTCTCGTCTGATATCATTGTTGTTCAGCGGTCCATGCTTTCCTTCATGTTATCATTCAACTGTGAACATTAACTGTTTTCAGGAGGAAGATGCTGCAAGTTCTCAAGCAGTTGAAAGTAACGAAATTCACGCTAGCAATGTGGAACTGCAGCAGGTATTCTTGACCTTTCTAAGAGAATTGAAGTTTAGTGGTTGGACCCGCCATATGTAACATCTGTTCTTTTTATACACTTTGTAGGGGGAGCAGGGTGACAACATTTCTGAACAATTTGCTGAACCAGAAGAAGTCACACCTGATGCTGAAGGTGTTGATAATTTGAAGGATGCAGATTTCAATCGGCAACAATCTGTTCCCCAGAGGTCTTATCAGAGCTACAGGGGTAGTCGTGGTGGGGGTGGGGGTGGCCGTCGTGGAAACTCCAATGGCCGCGGAGGACGTGGCAGGGGAGGGTCCTACCAGAACGGCCGCAGTCAATACTATGACCAATCTGGTAATTACCACCAGAGGAACCATTTTAATAACTATAGGGGAAGGGGTGGCAGGGGTACAGGTGGTGGCGGGAGTTACAATCATTATGCTTCAGGTGATCATGCAGGCAGTTTCTCTGCTGAAGTATGACCATGTTTAGGTGGTTATACAATTTCTTTTGCTAGCTTCGTGGAGGTGGTCAAGCTGTTTCCCTTTACATGGAATCACAAAAGTGTTTTCTGCTTGCTTGTGCATCATCCTGGAACGCTTTTTGTAGCTGAAAGAATTGGGAAATCTTATTACCTAAAAAAGAACTGGGAAATCTTATTGTCAATTTGAGAAAGAATAGAGCCATTGTAGCTTCTTCAAAGATCATTACTTGCAGATCGTTTTTGGTTCTGAACGTTCTTAGCATTTGCTAGTTTTATCTTGCGGCTTCTGATATTAAATGTGAAGGTGCTATTTGCTGATGACTGTGCTAAGTTTAGGCGGGAGGTGATAATTATATAAAGCACAACTGAATGTTAATCCACATAAGAAAATTTAATTGCTTTGGTAAATGTTTTTAACTGCAATTATTATGCTTGGCGGTTCAGAGCTTTGGTGTAGTGGTAAGAATGCAAAAACGTGATGTGTGGAGTAGACGCATGTCACGAGTTTGGATTGTAATTAAAAGCTTAGTATTAACCGGGGAAGAGTAGATGAATAGCTCTATTATCTATAGTAAGTTTTTAGGCTGTCTTTTTGGTGATTTTAAAAATTATTATGCTTTGCAATGATTCTTGATATCATTGAATCATGTCATACATATGAACTTACTTCTTTTTTTTCGGGTATTTTTAAGGGGTAAGATTGTTTTACCAAAGAATTGTTGTGACAACTTTTCGCCAGTGGCAAAGCTAGGAATTTCTCCAAGGGTGTTCAAATTTAAAAAAAAGTGAAAAACATTTTCAACAAAGGGTGTTCAATGTGTTATATACTTTTAAAATGTAATATTTTGCCTATGTACACAGTGCAATTTTTCGACGAAGGGTGGTCAAATGTAATATTTTGCCTATGTACATAGTGTAATTTTTCGACGAAGTTGACCACCCTTATCACCATGTGGCTTCGCCACTGCTTTTCGCCCGATACACACTTTTCCATTGGAAAATTTATTCACGTCCGCTGCTTATATTTCCTTTTCCGTTAGTGCTCAAAGTTCGCTTGTTTGCAACAATCCAGTAGAATCTCACTAGAGGGGTTTGGGGAGGGTAGTCCCTCGGCTCAAGAAAACGAAATGAGACAATAGATCCGTAGCAATAACAGAAATCAGAAAAATAATATCAACATCGTAAGAAATAACAAATAAATTGAAGGGCAATAACACAATACTATGAAAAATGAAAAAAAGAAGAAGTGTGAACACAACATATGCCGCTAGCATCCTAGACAAAGCACTATTAGACTAGCTGGTACAAAGAGGAAAAACGCTCAACTACCCTCTAACCTATAACCCTAATACTCGACCTCCACACCTTCGCTTGTATATTTGAGTAAAACTTTCCTGAACTGATTGGTTGCACTGAATATTTTCATGCCTCAACTGATTGGTTGCATCCAAAATGAGTCTAGTGTTTGATTACAGAATCAAGTGCTTTGTCAGTGAGCCCCCACGAGCCAGAAGATCAACCAGTCAAACCCGAGTCGTAAAAATAGACTAAATTGTGAAAAATAATCATAATCATGTAATAAAAATGTATTTAGTGGACACATTTTATTTGAGAATGCATGTTAATTAAGCATAATCATATAACAAAAATCAAGTTAGCTTCTGTTCTTGCTGATATTGCATGTTAGTTGCTGTAGTTGGGCAAAACCATCTCAAGCATATCTATTTGAGCCTCTTACAACTGGCTGTTGCCTTCGATAGCTGTTATGATTTAACAAACCGCGGCGACAATTTGGCAAATAAACAGCTATCCAATTTTGTTGTCCGTGATTTCAGCTTTTAGACTAATGATTCCTTAATAGCGAAGGTGAATTTTAGTCAAAAAGATGTTCATTTCCACATGAGAGCGGTAAAGACCATTTTCATTGGCAGCGATGTGGATCATAATATTACTATCTTCTTTTCTATGTAAATTCCAGAAATGTTAATGATATAAAAAAGTAGATCAATATATAATCTTTGAATGACTAATTTGAGTCTCTTTTGCTTCTACGGTAGTTTTAAGCTGATCCTCGAAGTCTAATAAAAGATCACCATCTTATTAGAGAAGGGGAACCAAATTAGCCAAAGTATATATAAGCCAATGTTCCATAAGTTGCTTTTGCAGTCTTTTGGAGGGCAAAAGTAACACATGTATGCAATCCCTTCAAGACAATCAAGAGAAAGTGGTAAACTTGGATCTCAATGATAAAGAATTTACAGCCAAACAATAGAAAACTCTAGCTACAAAATTCAGTTCAAGAAACAATGCCACCCACCCCCTCTGAAAAGGGAGAAAAAAATTAAAAGAATCTCCCTTCTTCCACCTATTCTCCTTCATTTTTCATTATTCAGTGCAAGGATATAGTATATATCTGCCAAACTAACTAATTTAGTGACAACTATCTTTCAACTCCCTTCACAAAACAATATATGTACATGCTTTATAACCACTGAGGACTGAATAGGTTGATGAACCAAAATGCTAGAAAGATGATGTTCTGTTGCACCAATTATAGTGCCCTCCAAATTGCTCTACATTGGCATCCTTGCATTTGGAAAATCTCCTGCTACTGATACACGAAAACAAAGTTTAGAGATACGTCGAAAGATCAATGGTAATATAATCAGCACACTTTATGCTAAAGCTAATTAACTAGATTGATGAGCACGAATAGAATTGCAGTTAATTGTACAAGCAACATGAAGTAAAGGCACCACAAAGACAAAAATAGTTGTCAGAGTGAACAAATTGCGAATCCTACTATACTAAGCTTCAATAAGTTCAGAATTCAATAATACTAATAGCATGTACAGGGGAAGGAAGGTACAAACAGCTGCTCTTAAGAAGAAGTATAGAAGGAAGAAGACTCGTTAAGAATGAAATAAGGCGGAAAGAATGTCATTGTTCAGTGACAGAACAAAATTGCTATCTTAAAACTTGATCCTGATGCTACTTATTGACAATGTAATATTGCAAAATAGCTTATGCTTATTATCATCCATGTCACAACAGAAGGCATATTGACATGCCTAATCAGCCCGGTTAATCACAGTAGACAGAGATAGGAACCAGCATCCTCAACGCATAGATTATAAATTTCACAAATTCAAGATAAGTTAAAATTCTCACCTTTAGATGAGGCCAGATGGTACAACAATGACATCCATATTTGCATTGTTGGGAGGAAGCTGCAGACGAAGAGGGTAAAGCTTCCCATTCAAAGGACTCTTAGTACACACAGTAATGTCCTCAAGCCCAGTTTCTTCCTCCAATGTCTTCGTCAGCTCCTCAACGCTATTTCCCTTGAAAGGTATGCAAAGCCCCTCCACTCCCTCATTGATTTCTCCATATTCGTCGACAATATGATAATAAATCAGCCTCCCATCTCCAAACTTCATCAATGAACTAGCCAAAAACTCTCCTGACTGCCAAGAAAAATAGGAGGCTTCAATATCATAACGAAATAGAGAACCTCAAACTCTCCTAAAAGACAACTTATAGTATGTTACCAATGTAACAAAATGAATACTGAAGATTCATATAACCGACCCTAACTAATTCAGTAGGCCTAGTAGTAGCAATTGTTGATTACTCCTACCATTTTGTATGGTACTTTCACTTACAAAGAGTCAATTTGACTTAGTTTTCAGAGCTAGATTAAACTATTCATTTCTTGAAAAATTGATATACTGATTTTTGAAAATTACTCTAAGTTGTAAACTGTCAAATTCTGCCATTTAGAACACAAGTTCATTCGATCCGAAAAGATTCTTTTTCAATATTCTAACTTTCCTTTGACTCTCCTATCTCCTACGTTGTCTTTAGATTAAAATTCCCTATCAATTAAAGCCACTTCGTGAGCCAAGGAGATCTCTCATCATCTTTTTTAAATTAAGTCACCGATCTCATATCTATAACCAGGTTTCAAAATGGTGAAAGGAACTCGTCGCAAAATGTTGGTTACAAAAGTTAACATTGGGTTCTAAATTAACAATTTGTATATAGTTAATGAATTTTAAGACAAATAGAGGGTTTGGACCAAAGCTACAAGGTTCGATCAAACCCGTAACAAGCACTGTGGCTCCGCCCCTGACAATAACCACCAAAATATCCATGAACTTCAACATCGAAGTTAGAGATAAATAACAATACCTCTTGTCTAGAAAAGCTGGCCGGAGATGCTGAGGAAACAATTGATGGTGAACTAGATTCAGAAGCAGCAACCGATTCCTCGTGAGGAATCAATGGTGGAGGAGGCTTAGGAGCAGGAGAATGAACCAAGATTTCAACCACATCAACATCCCACAAAACCCAATCTTGAGTTGAAGTACGATGAGGTATATTATGTGTAACTGAATTTCTCCAAGGTGGAATACTATCATTAGCTCTCAAGAACTGACCATATCTTGTTTTAAGCTTCACTTGATTCCCTTCTCTAATGGGTTCCCATTCAACTGAAGAATCAAGTCTTCTTGGCAGAGTTTGTAACACTTTCCTCCCCGTCATCCCTAAAAGAAATCTCTGGTTAGAAGCAGTAAGGTACTTGCCATAAAAACTCTTGAGACGTATGATATTTTTTTCAGAATTGTTGTTGATGAATTCTACTGTCCACGTTGCATTTTTGGATGCACCATCTCGATCTTGGATTACTGTTTCTTCATCTTCTTCTGCTGTTAAGTATTTGTCGTGGTAACTTCTTAGGCGTACTGCTTTAGCCTTGTAAAAGAGGTCCATTGCTGTTTTTTTGGTCACAGGAATACTCTGTTATAAAAGTTTTATAACAAGGTTAGTTGTTGAACAAATGTTTCTGGAATACGATATAATGATTAGAGGATTAATAAGAGAGTTGAAAATGGTGACAATTGGGTTGATGTTATAATATTTTTCAGTATTTATAGTCTAATATAGCAAGTTGATATAGTATAAAAGATTGGTGTTTGAATAATTCAAGGGTATGAGAGTTGACAGGCGGCGCCAGCCATGAAAATTGGTAGTTAAGCAATTGCGACACGGATAATCCAACCGCGTGATTAAATTAAGGTTTGTCATGTGAGTAAAATCTTATGACTTTTTCAGCTGTCATGTTTCTGTTTTGGGGCCTTGTGACAGAAATAACTGGACCCCATTAGTTAAACATATGAATCATGTGAATATGATTATAATTCTTTTGAAATTCATGGTCTTAAATATATTTTGTTTACTTTTACTTATTTATTATTTCTTCCGGTTCACAATAAGTGTCCAATTTATTTTTTTATTTTGGTTCAAAATAAGTGTCCAGTTATGTAATCAAGAAAGAATTCAATTTGTTTTTACAAAATAACCCCTATGTACATATCCCTAAAAAGTTTTCTTACTCCTCACATTAAATATTTAATTAGGGGTAGTTTAGTCATAGTAGGTATTTTTGTATAGAATTTAGTATTTCCTTAATGGGCGTGCTAAAAGTAAATTGGACACTTATTGTGAACCGGAGGGAGTATATTAAAAATATATTTTTATTTTTATTTTTAATTTTAATTTTAGCAAATCAAGAGAAAATTAATTTTTTTCTTCTTATTTTACACTTATTATTAACTACTCATTCCATTAGAAAAAACCTCTTCTCTTTGCATTTTTTCTCTCTCTAGAATGAAAACCTCCCCTCAGTGAGAACTGACCATAGGAAGGAAATCGAAAGCTGTAGCAGGCGAGAAACAATGGCAGAACAACACTACTAATGGAGGAAAGGAAACTGTACCCCAATTCACAGATGCGAAGAAAACAAAAAGCATAAATGTGCTACAAGGAATCATTCCGCTGGATCTAGCGAAAGGAATAATGGATCAAACTCCAAATCAGTGCAAATTGCCAAATAGAAGTGAGAACAGTAACATGCAAAGCAGCGGGAAGAGTTCATGGGACAATGTGGTTGAGGAAGAAGCAATGGCGGAAGAAGAGGCAGGGGAACTGCAACAAAATGGCAAGTCATGGAGCAAGGTAGTTGGTCCAATTCCTCAAACTGAAGGAATTGAATGGAGTAATGTGGAAATGACACAACAGAATGTGAAGATCACAATTGAAGACATACAGGAAGAGGTCGAGTACTGGAAAACTGCTGTGATCTGCTATGTGCTGGGATCCAATCCCCCGCTAGCAGTTATGGAGGGATATTTCAAAAGAATTAGGGGAAATAGAGGAATTGACAAAGTTGCAGTAGTGAATAAAGGTGTGTTCCTTGTTAGATTTCAATCAGAAAATGCAAAAAATAGAACAGTTGAGGAAGGAGTCCAAATGTTTGATAAAAAGCCAATAGTGATCAAGCCTTGGAAGCAGGATATAGATATGAAGAAGGAGACTATTGACAGGATTCCAATATGGATTAGACTCATTGGACTGGATATTAAATACTGGGGAAAGAGTGCTTTAACAAAAATTGCAGGCATGGTGGGGAAACCACTGAAGGCAGATAGTGCTACTTCACAGAAGGAAAGGCTCACATTTGCTAGGATACTTGTTGAGGTATCAATTAATCAACAGTATCCTTCAATGATTATGTTTGAAAATGAATATGGGAAGATCATAGAGCAACAAGTAGTGTACGAATGAAAACTTGTGCATTGTCCTACCTGCAATAATTTTGGCCATGAACAAGATGATTGTAGGAGGAATATGAAAAAGGAGGAAGCAAAGGAGTATCCAAAACAACAACAAGATGAATAGAAAATGGAGGATAAAGGAGAGCAGAATAAAGGGAGCAATGATAAATCAGATAATGTAAAGAACAAAGAAAAGGAGATTGAAGGGATGATGCAGCAAAAGAGGAAAGGGAAAAGCAATACAATCATGAGAGCAAAGGAGATGACTCTATCATTAGGGAACACATATACAGTATTAGCAAAGAACATAGATGAAAATACCAAAGGAAATGGAAGTGAAGCAAGCTCATCTAACCCTGGAGATAAGCATGCTAGTAAGGGCCATGACACTGAAAGGGTGGGGGCAACCCCCTACCTAATGGATAATATTGGATGCTTGAATGTAAGGGGCCTAAATAGGGCAGCTAAGCAGAAAGAAGTCAACCTATTTCTGCACAATGTTAAGGCTGAACTATTTGGGCTCCTGGAGACAAAGATTAAGAGAACAAAGGCTCAACAAGCCTCTCTTAATCTTTGTAATGGGTGGTCATTCAATACAAACCTGCATAAACATCCTAGGGGTAGGATTTGGTTATTATGGAAGCCCCACATCTATGAGGTTGATATAATAACAGTAAATGCACAAATGATTCACTGTCAAGTAAAGCATAGAGGAAGGAATGAGAGGATGCACATAACAGTGGTGTATGGCTTTAATGATCAGGCCCTTAGAAGAGACGTATGGTAGGAGTTAAGTAAAATCCATAGTCAAGTTCAAGGCCCATGGAGTGTAATGGGGGATTTCAATTGTGTATTACTTAAGGAGGAAAGGCTAGGGAGCCCTGTTACAGTAGCTGAAATAAGAGACTTTAAGAGCTGTGTAGAGAAGTGTGACCTACATGAGCTAAAGTCTACTGGTGCTTATTTCACCTAGAATAACAAACAAGAAGGGGATGACAAGGTAATGAGTAAGATAGATAGAGTTCTTGTTAACAGTGCTTGGGTAACAAACCTCCTGGCTTCCACGGTACATTATATGGAAGAAGGGTTGTATGATCATTGCCCTGCTATTATTAGCTGGGAGAAGGGAAAGAATAAGAAGGAGAAGCAGTTCAAATACTTCAATATGTGGAGTATGGCACCAGAATTCTCAGAGAAAGTAGAGGGAAGCTGGCAAGTAAAGATAACAGGATGTAAGCAGTACCAACTAGTGGGGAAGATGAACAAACTAAAAAGAGTATTAGGGATGATCAATAAGAACAGGTTTAGTGAAGTGGAAAAGAAAGCAGACCAAGCAAAGCAGGAACTTACAGACTGTCAAGCTAGAATTCAGGCAAATCCTAGGGATCATGAACTACACAAAAAAGAGAAGGAGCTAGCAAGGGATTATAGCAGATGGGAAGAAGCAAGATACCAGTACTTAAGGCAGAAGAGCAAAATAACTTGGGCAGAACAAGGGGACCATAACACAAGATACTTCCACAACAGCATTAAAGCAAGGAGAAACAACAATAGAATCTTCTCTATAAAGGATGCTGATGGAGTTAATGTTACAGAAATGGAAAAAGTAGCTACCACCTTCATAGAATTCTATACATCCCTACTAGGCACAAGTAAGGATGATAGAGTTCATGTGTGTAGTTACTTAGTGAAGTAGGGAGCTGTGGTGAATGAAGAAGACAGGAAAATGCTAGAGGAACCCTACTCAGAGAAGGATGTAAAGCAAGCTCTATGGGCAATAGCATGGGATAAGAGCCCTGGTCCAGATGGCTATGGCAGCCAATTTTTCAAAGACAGTTGGAATATAACAGGAGGAGATGTCACAGCAGCAGTATTAGAATTCTTCAAGACTCAGAAGCTGTTGAAAGTGATAAATAACACAGTTATAACACTCATTCCAAAAGGGACACATGCTGATTCAGTAGGGGACTATAGGCCAATAGCCTGTTGCAACACAATATACAAGGTGATATCAAAAATGTTATGTCAAAGACTAAAGAAGGTACTGCCTAAAATCATCTCAGAAAATCAGAGTGCTTTTGTAGAAGGGAGATCCATTGTTCAGAACATCCTAATATGTCAAGACTTAGTGAGACTTTATGATAGAAAGCACACTACAAAAAGTTGTCTTATAAAAATAGACCTTAAGAAGGCCTATGATTCAATTGAATGGGGATTTGTGGAAGAAATGCTATATGCACTGAATTTCCCATGCCAGTTCATAAGATGGGTTATGAAGTGCATCACAACCACTCAATATACTCTAGCAATCAATGGAGGCTTGTATGGTTGCATAAAAGGTAAAAGGGGACTGAGACAAGGGGATCCAGTATCCCCATTGCTGTTTGTGATCTGTATGGAGTATTTTACTCGTATCATGAGACTGGTGGCTACTCAAGAGGGATTTGCTTATCATACCAAATGTAAAGGGCTGCAGCTTAATCATCTATGCTTTGCAGATGATGTACTATTATTTTGTAAAGGGGAGTATCAAGCTATAGTCCTAATGTTAAGAGGACTACAAAGCTTCTCAAATGCATCAGGCCTAACCACAAATGCTGCTAAATCTAATGTCTTCAGTGCAAACATGGAGGACCAAAGTCTGCAGAATCTATGTGAACTGACAGGCTATAAGAGGGGATCACTACCATTTAGGTATCTTGGAGTACCTATCTCACCAAAGAAGCTGACAGCAATGGATTGTGAAGTCCTTGTGGACAAGATGACAATGAAAATTAAAAGTTGGGGGTCAAGAAACTTGTCATATGCAGGGAGAGTTCTTCTAGTGAATGCTGTGTTAATGCACATACACACCTATTGGGCATCTATCTTTGTTCTGCCTAAGAAAGTGATCAAGAATATCATAGGGGTATGTAGAAGTTTTCTATGGGATGGGAAAGTCTACTCCAATAAGCCATCACTAGTAGCATGGAATTTGGTATGCAGAACAAAAAGGCAAGGAGGCTTGGGGGTGAAGGATACTGCAATATGGAATGAAGCAGCCATAGCAAAATATGTATGGAATATAGCAGCTAAAACAGACAACTTGTGGGTGAGATGGGTAAACCATATCTATTTAAAAGGAAGAGACTGGTGGCAATACAAAGTACCTATAGATTGCAGTTGGTACTGGAGGAAAATATGCTCCACAAGAGATAAATTTGCTGGAGGGTACATACAAAATCACTGGCTAAAAGCTAATGGATTATATACTATTAAGAGTGGTTATGACTGGAAGAAAGGGACCAAGGAAGATTGGCCTTGGCGAGGA